CGCCCCGCTCTGCTCCGCCCCGGCCCAGCCCTGTTTCCTCTCACGGCCAAAGAAAGTGAACAAGGCGGAGCAGCGCTGACGGAGCCGCCGGGACACGGCCTGGGCCTGGGCCTGGGCCTGTGCCGGCGGGGCCGGCTTGCTGGCGCTGCTGGGGATGCGGGGGCCAGGCTGGGATCGGCACCTGCCGGCCTGCGCGGCTCGGCCCGGCCCGGCCCGGCGCGGCGCTGGTCAGTGTTACCTAACAGCTCTCACTGACTGAGCCGGGGTGGCGGCCCCCGCCCGAGCCGGTGGCTCCCTGCTGGTCCGTCGGGGACCTCCTTACCGGGCGCCGCTCGTCCTGTCGTACTAAATGACGGTCAGATCGACGCTCCCCCTCGTGTGTTTTAGTTCAAATGCCGCGCGCTCCTATTCCGCGCCCGGGCTCCCCGGCCGCGCCGCCGCTCCCCTAAAAGCTTTGTGCGCGGCGCGGAACCTACGGGGAAGTCCCGAGCGCGCCCGCCGTGCCGTGCCGCGCCGGGCGCAGCCGACTGGCTTGGCCCACTCGGCCACCGGACCGAATCGGACCAGCAGCGCGAGTGCAGCGCGAAATATTCGCAGCAAACGGACGGACAGACGTACGTGCGCGTTGCGTGCGCGTTGCGTGCGTGCGCGTGCGCTGGGGGCGGCGGGGCGTGCGTATCCCGGCCCATAATATGCAGGCGGCTCCGATTCGGTTACGTCGCCGTGTCGCCATAACGCCATGGGTTCGCGCCCAGCCGGGCTGACCCTCGGGGACGCACTCGAGGGAGTACGTGCGGCCGCTCACGACGGCGGCGCGGTGGGCCCGCGGGCCGAGCTTGGCCCCAGGATGGCTGCCGGCTCGAACTTTACTCGTTTTTATGAAAGTTGCAATAATTGGATGCGAGTATGGCCTGGATCGGCTCGACTCGGCTCGACTTCGGCTCGACTTCGGCTCGACTCTGCTGGGCCCGGCTCTGGGCTCGGCGGCTCGGCCCGCAGTGAAAGGGCGCCGACTCGACGGTGACGTGTTGTGGCAGAGGGGCGGGACCCGAGGTGAAGGGAGATGATGCGGTCGCCGCGCGTCGCTTCTTGCAGGTGCTAAGTGGCGCCTGATGTGTGGCCTGTGGTCTCTCTCTTTTCTCTGTACCTTCCTAATCCTCTTTATATCCCCCCACCCGTTTCTTCAGCCAGACTTCCTTGCATATTCTGCCTTCTCTCACTCCAAACGCCGTGGCTGATTGTTTGCTAATTTTTTACATGTCGACGTCAAGTCGATTTTGTCTTTTAGCAGGTCGGTTTTTGGAAAAATGCTTAGCTTCTTTGGGCCTGTTTTAATGTTAAATTTCTGTATGCTTTTGGAAGTGCTGGTTTTTGGCTTTTTATAGATTTCTTTCATAGCTGGCCTTAGGTTTTACAACGGTATTCCTAATTTATTTGTTTCATTACTCTTGCCATTTATATCCCGCCTCTTTGTGCATTTCCTGCACCCCCTTTTTTTCCCTTCCACTGATTCCCTCCTTCATTGTCGTTCGAGTTCGATCCGCGGCCGATGCTGGCGCTACCTGTCCGCCGGCCTAGACCAGGCGTGGTTATACCCCTCGCTCCCGAGAGTATCGCTGCCGAGGGCGCGTATACTCTTACCTGTCTACCTTGTTGGCGTCGGCGCCGTGCTGGGTGGGCAACCCAACTGCCGCCTCGAGAACCAGTGGAACACGAAGTTGGTCGACTTGCAAACTATACTTTAACTCCTCTGTATCGGGCGATACTTTGCACTCATACCTTCCACTTGCATTGTGGGTTTGCCTCGGGATCATCCGAAGAGTACGCCAGATTTTCTTAAACTCTTCCTCCGGCGGCAAGTTGCGGAAGCCTTGGCTCCTGCGACGCTCGGGGTAGGCCATCCCGCAGTACATGCATGCGCTGCAGGCAAGATGTTGCCTACCTATCAGGTGCCATGAGAGCTTACATCTGCTGAACTTGGCAGTTTTGTAGCAGTGTGTAACAGACGCTCTTTTCTGGATGGTTCCTGACACAATTGTTAATGTTGCTGAGAAACTTCATTCAGGTCTACTCAAAGGTGCCATAGCGCCTTCAGATCAGGACAGAGTACTTAGTGTATACCGTTCGTGATCGGTGTACTCGGAGCGCACTCTGGCTGTTCTTTGAGTGCAGGGCGCCGCGGGACTAGGCAACCCAGCGTGCTGCCGCCGCGGCGCGAGACGTGAGCTCGAGACCTGGAGCTGTTCATTGACCGCCCTCCAGCTAGGAGCCCCGAGTGCTCCTGGAAGCAAACTGGACGGGCCTGCCGGCCAGTCCTCTCTAACAGGCGAGCAGGCCTCTGCCTTTTGGGCCGTGGCAGCTTTGTAGTGGGGCATACTCGGGAGGTTTTCCGTAACGTCCGCCTTTGCGGTGCATCGCATGGATAACCCTTCTCAGAGATTAAGCTACATACAGGGTTTTCTAACCTTCAGGCCGCTTCTTAGCGTTGAAAGCAGGAGGCGGCTGCCCCTGGCGCCCACTCAATACCGCTGTTCGCTGTTCCACCCTAGGTTCCAGTGAAGTCACACGAAGAAACCACCTACTTTCCTGCTATTATCAAGCATTTGCGATGGACTTAATTTTATAGAGGATAGAAAATGAGGAAAGCATAACTGGAAGTTTGTCACGACTGCCTCGATGAAACGAAACCCTACATTATAATTTGATGCAGCCAATCCGTTCAGGGATGAGCGTATGACAGGTGATGAAAGGTGTTAAATCGAGTTAAAGAACGTTTTGTTTTCAAAACATAATAAATAACATTTAATTATCTTTAAACACGTAACCGGATATCAGTACTTAGAAAATAACGACCTATTATCTAATGACACATGATGTAACATATTAAATGCAATGAACAATATACATTTGTGGTATTGCGATGACGATTTGAGCAAAAATATGGTAACCCTACAAACACGGCCCTTTTGGTCCACATAGGCATTTCGGCAATCTCGTGTACGACAAAATGATGAACATTTTAAAATTAATTGAATTATCAACGTATAAAAGTACATTAAACTAGACACAAATTAAAATAGAAGAATGAAAGCCGTTTTGATTATGAAGCATTTTCATCAAGTACCTGCTATGAAAACGAGGTAGATTAGGTCCTTTTAAACTTATTTCTTAATCGAAAAACTTGGGAAAACTAAACAACATTGACATCGAAGCCGACGTTTTAACCTTACAATACAATTGCAACAATATAACTGATAACGACATGTTGACCTGCAACAAAGGCGCTCGACGAAGCAAGCCAGGGGGCTTCTCTTCGGATGTGCGAGTCACGTAGAAGGAACAAAGTAACCACCCAGTCTCTCCCGTCGCACAAATTCGATGAGTGACTAGCCTCGGTTAGTCGCGGGGATGTGTGGAACAACACATTCTGTCTGCGCGGGGCGCGACCCCGCCCATCCTACATATCACAAGCTGAGAGTGTCATTGGCAGGGCCTGGCGCGTGCCTCGGCATGCGGGCGCGCACGCGCGTGCACACGCCCACACACACATGCACGCTCAAACGCACACGTGCACGGGCGCACGTGGGCTTTCACCGACGCACGTGCGCGATGAGGAACTTCTACGAGTGTCAGGTGCCGACGACTCAGAGGTCAAAGATGGTGCAGTTGGTGCAGTGCTCCGAGTCGAAGCTGACGGACCGCCTCCGCCGGCGCCTGCGGCTGTCGCGCCACAGGGCCTTGATCATGTCGGCGCCCTTCTCGGCCACCATGATGGTGGGCGCGTTGATGTTGCCCGACGTGACCCTCGGCATGATGGACGCGTCTATCACCCGGAGCCCCTTGATGCCGTGCACGCGCAGCTCGGGGTCCACGACGGCGGCCGGGTCGGAGGCGGGGCCCATCTTGCAGGTGCCGGACAGGTGGTAGATGGTGAGCGTGTACTGGCGCACGTAGCACTCCCAGTACTCGTCCGTGTAGAAGGGCAGGTGCTTGCAGCCGGGCGCCAGCTTGCGCCAGAAGCGCGCCCCGAAGCGTTTGAGGGCCGCGGTCTCGCCCAGCGCGATGGCCTGCTTCACGCCCTCGCGCATGACGCGGATGTCGTCCGGGTGGGTGAGGTAGTTGTGCACCATGAGCGGGTACCTGGGGCAGACCACGTAAGGTTAGACGCTATGAGAAATTACTGTTGTATCCGGTAAAGGAAAAAAATCCATGAAACGTGTCGTACGTTTACAATTGTAAATTTACGAGCACTTTGTAATGACTTGATATCCATTGACGATCAAGTTTGTGATGTTGTGCAAGTACAGCATATGTTGTAAATAGTAAATTATTACAAATTATTTTGTATATCTACGAACATACTTTTTGCAGTGGAGTCTGCACGAGAGTGATCTGATTTTGATATCGCGTCACGATGGTGATATGACTAGTTACTGGTTGGCCACACTCTCAGGGCTCACCTGAGCGGGTCGTTGTTGCGCAGCTTGATGTAGCCGCGGCTCTTGGGTCGCAGGATCATGGGCCAGACGCTGAAGACGTCCTTGTTGTTGAGCGGGGCGAAGTAGTCGTTGTAGAACGCGTCCGTCAGCCCGTGGGCCTTCTTGACCTGCGTGCCGCCGTCCGTGGTGGCTGACGTGGACACCAACATGAACTCGATGTCGGGCCAGTCGTCGGTCTGGTTGCCGTACTTGGTGGTGAAGAAGCCGACAGCCTCCAGACCCACGCTGGACGTGAGCGGCCCGTCACCCAGGATGGCGTACCTGCAGGACCAGCGCCCAGGAAGTGTCGTTACATGTGGGTGCACAAGTGACCAGGAGAGTAGTGGTAGTAGGGCAGCGAACGTTACCTGAGCGCTGAGTTGATGTTCACCAGCCTGTTCATGACCAGCGACACGGGGTAGTCGACCTGGAAGGTGAGCCCGGCGGCCGCGATGTGGTCCTGCAGGTTCTGCCCCACGCCGGGCAGGTGGTGCACCAGTGGGACACCCACCTCCTGGAGGTGTTGCGCGTCTCCAACGCCTGCAGAACGGACATGGAAGGGGAGTGAGTTGAGCACATTGGGAATCAAAGTTTATGAATGTCACTCACCTCCAACCTACAGGTGAGTGAAAAAATTAACACACATGCAATTGTGCGACCAAATATTAACACATTTGTAGGTGAGCGAACAGAGATTCACACACTTGGCAAAGGTAGCCATTTACCCATTGAAAAGTCTGTGAATGGTTATTCACACATCTGCAGGTGTCTGGAAATTCTGTCGCGCACCTGCAGAGATGTGAATTTTTTCACTCACATGCAGGTGAGTGACTTAGCTAAATTTCCAGAACAGAGTACAGCGAATGTAATGTGAGGGCGTGTGATCACACCACCTCGAGATGGTGCGATTGCTGGAGCAGATGTTTTGGTCGCGTGCGATGCGCCACTTTGGTGTTTATGGGGGAGTATGGTGAGAAAAAACACTGTTTAGCAACGCTTGGCACTGGCCACCGACCGGCATTCCAGCCTCCAGCTGCCTGCACCGGGGTCGGTGTGCAGTGCTCGGCCACCGGTGAACATGTTGTGTCCGAGTGGGAGCGAGACGGACCGAGCATGAGTGAGTGCGACAGAGAGATGGCGATGCTGGGGGCATCATCCTCTCACCCAGAAAAGGGCTTGGCTGTAGCGACCATCGCATGGTAAATTCAGGGAGCACCATACAATATGATTGATGCAACATTATAGTGGTTGTGTAAAACAAAAATATGGTTTCCATCACGTCATTGTTGTCTCAACCATATTTAATGGTGCTCCCTGAGCCAACCATACGATGGTTTGCCATCTCTCTCTCTCTCTCTCTCTCGCCGCCTCACCTTGCCCCGCGAGCTGTCCGTTGCGTTGGACAAACACTCCCAGTCCCAGTCACGCAGACGACACTCACCCGACAGCAGGAGCAGCTGCGGCGACGCGACGGCGCCCGACGACACGATGACCTCGCGGCGCGCCAGCGCCACCCTCTTGACGCCGTCCCGGATGAACTCGACGCCGTACGCGCGCTTGGTGTTGGGCTCGATGAGGACCTTGGTGGCGTGCGCCCAGAGCGCCACGTGCAGGTTGCGGCGCAGGCGCACGGGCCGCAGGAACGCCTTGGCCGTGGAGCAGCGGTAGCCGCGCCGCATCGTGTACTGGTAGAACGCGAAGCCCGTCTGCTGCTCGCCGTTGACGTCCGTGATGTCGTACCTGCCGGTCACCCAAAGGCGCAGTGTGAGCGAGCTTTACCGAGTTTCGCATGTTGGTAAAATGATCTGAGCCCTAGCGCACTTACCCGAGCTCCTCGCCGGCCTGCACGAAGGCCACGCCGAGGGGCGTGTTGAAGGGGCTGTCCTGGACGGTGAGGTAGCCGCCGGTGCCGTGGTACGGCGACTTGGCCAGGTACGGGTTCCGCTGGTCCTGGCTCTTCTTGAAGTAGGGGAGCACCTCGTCGAAGGACCAGCCGTAGTTGCCCATGCTGGCCCACTGGTTGTAGTCGCGCTTGTTGCCTCGAATGTAGAGCATGGTGTTGAGTACGGAGGAGCCGCCGATCACCTTGCCCTTGGTCCAGCAGCAGCGTTTGTCGATCATGGCCTGGCAGGCCGTCTCCTGCGCCTGCGGCCGGTACTTCCAGTCCAGCTTGCTCTTGTGCAGGTACAGCGACAGCACGGGCACGTCCGAGATCTCCGTCTCGTGGCCGCCCGCCTCGAGCAGCAGGATGTTCCAGTGCGGCACCTCGGACAGCCTGTTGGCCAGGACCGCGCCTAGGGCAGGAAGGGGAGGGCGTTAGCGAGTGGGAGGAGGGAGGGCGTCGAGGGGGTACCTCTAAATTAATAGGTCGCGTTGGTAATTGGGACAAATTTTCTGAATTTTTGAAGAAAAGGTTTGGTTTTCGTGAAGGATTTTTTTTCACCCCTTTTTGTTGGGGGGGG